CAGAAACTTTACTCGGGGGGAAAACAAATTTTTTACTGAGGGCCACAGAACTGTTATTTGGGCCACAGAAACGTTTTGGGGCCACAGAATTGTTCCAGGGACAACACAGAATTTGTTCCCTGGGGGCCCAGAATTGTTCCTTGAGGGCCACAGAATTTTTTAAACTGGGGGGCCACAAAATTTGTTACTGGGGCCACAGAAATTGGGTTACGGGGGCCCCACAGAATTGTTATGGGGGCCACAGAAATTTTTTAACTGGGGGCCACGGGAATAATTTTTACTGGAGGGCCCAAAAAGAAATTTGTTACTGGGGCCACAGGAATTTTTTACTGGGGGCCCACAGAATTTTTAAAGGGAGGGCCCAGAATTTTTTACTGGGGGCCAAAAAATTTTGTTACGGGAGGGCCCCCAAAATTTGGTTACTAAAGGGCCAAAAAATTTTGGTTTCCCTTGGGGGGCCAAAGAATTTTTAACTGGGCCCCCAAAATTGTACTGAGGGGCCACAGAATTTTTAAAAGGGGGCCACAGAATTTTTTAAAACTAGGGGCCCCCGGAAAATTGTTATTTAAAGGGCCCCCCACAGAATTGTTACTAAAGGGCCACAAAAATTTTTTAAAAACCGGAGGGCCCACAAATTTGGGTTTAATTTTGAGGCCACAAAATTTTTGTTACTGGAAAGGGCCACAGAAGGGGTTACGGGGGGGCCACAAAATTGGTTATTTTAGGGGAACCACAGAATTGTTTTACGGGAGGGCCACAAAATTTTTTTACGGGGAGGGCCCAAAAAATTTTAAGGGGAAGGGGCCAACGGAATTGTTTACTGGGGGCACCCCCAAATTGTTACTGGGGGGAACACAAAAATTTTTTTACCCCAGGGCCCACAAAAAATTTGAAAATTTCGGGGGAAAAACAGAATTTTTACTAAAAGGGACAAAGGGAATTTGTTCCCTCGGGGCCCACGGAAATCTTTTGGAATTAAAGAGTTTGCCCAAACAACATTGCAGGGGGAGGGGGCAGAGGAGGAAAGGGTTTTTAGGGGGCCGACCCAGACGGGGGCAGAAAAGGGGAAGGGGGTCGGGGGCCCAGCACTGGGTCCCCAGCCCAGAGGCCGGGTGCTCCCGGTGTCCCCCCAGGCGGTCGTGTCTCCCCCCGACAACCCTGCCGTCATCGTTTGGGTTTGGGCCCCTCGGTCGTCTTCCTTTTTCCCGGGTCCCTCTGACACCTACACCAAAGGGTCGGGGGGTTAACGTCGCCCCTAACCGTTTTTTTTTGGGAAGGGCCCCCGGGACAACCCCACTGAAATCACGTGCCCCTCTACCTGCCCCTGCCCTTTGGTGTTCCCTCACCAAGCAAATTATCGCTTTCTGTGGGCTCAGCCCCATGTACGTTGAGGAAGAGCTAACAGGGGGGGTTTCGGAAGGGGGGGGAGACATCCGCCTTTCAGCGCCCAGGCGAAGAAAAAACGGGCGAGGAGTTTTGGCTCGGTAGCCGGGTCAAAAGAACGGGGTCTTTCCTGACCCAGACGCACCGAGGGGGCTAGTAGTGAGGGGGAGCCCCAAATTTTATGTTTGAGGGGGTTTTATCGCATTTGGCCCCCCCCTCGGGGGGGTCGATCAAAAATTTCTTCGCATAAACAGGAAAGAGGGTAAAAAGCTTGGCAAAAACCCCCGCGAGCCAAAACAGTCGGTGGGTTCCCCAAAAGGAGGAAGCAGGGTCCGCGCAGTGTCAGTGGGGCCAAAACCCATGAGTAGAGCCCAGCTCCACTCAGCCACCACCAGGGCCCAAGAAAGTGGTGCCGGGGGCCAGGGAAAAAAAAGTAGCAGTCAGCCAGTGGGGGGTTAGCGGGGGCAAAGTTTCCCCTTTACTGGGTTGGTTGGAAAATTTTTCGCCAACCGCCCGAGGAAGGAAAAAACGTACCGTATGTCGACTATGGCCAAAAGTCAAGCGGGGCCCGGGGGGCCCCATTTTTGGGGACTACAGCGTTGGGGTCAGCATTTGCAGCGTCGTTTTTTCGGTGCCGGGAAAAAAACCCGGGATAAAGAAAACGGCGGTTCTGCCTGCCCCACCCCCCCGCCCCTTTAAAACCCGCCCCCGGTTACTTGCCCCTTCCCCGCGCAATCCCCACCTCTCCCCCAACCAGTCAAGGCTCCAAAAAACCTCTGCTAAAGGGGGGGGGGTTGTCGCTGTTGGATTTCCCGCCCGTTCGGGATCTCCTTCTCCTGCTACCCCTCTTCAGGGGATTCCGTCACCCAGCTTTCTTTTTTCCTTTTTCCAAGAGACAACTTTGCGAGCACGAACTCGAGGGTGCAAAGCTGAAGTCCTCCGGTCCAAGTTGCGGGTTTGGTGCAGTCCCCCCTTTTCCCAAAGTGGGGGGAACTCAGCACCTTTTCCGGGGAAATGATGGCTTGTCCCGCGCCGCGGTGGGAGGGGGAAAGGCCCCCCCCCCCCCTTTTTTCTTTGCCAAAAAAAGGCATGGAACCCCTGCACCACAGTAAAAAAGAAAATGGTGGGGCCAAATCTTTGAAGCGGGGCGGTTTTCTAAAAAAAGGGAAAGGCCGCGCCGACGTTTTTGGGAACCCCTTTGAAAACTAGGGTCAGGGACATTACAGCCAATTACGGCCCAAGGGGGGTGAAACTTTTGGTGCCGGGCAAAAGCCGCCCAGCAACTTGGACGGGTTTCACGATGCTTTTTGCCCTCCAGGTTTGAGCCTTTGGTCCACAAAAAAATGGCCCCGCCCCCAAACCCCCCCCTTTTTCCCAAAACCGTGTCCTCAGCCGCCCCCCCCGTCCCAAGCCCCCCAATTTCCCCCACCGGGAAAATTTCACATGTGCAGGGGGAAAAACGGTGTAACGCTGTGCTGAAATGGTATCCCTTGGCGAACGGTGTCCCCACAGGGGGGGGAAACTTTGGTGAAATTGAACAGGAAAAAATCGACAGAGGGCTGTCCCGCGCAAACTGAAAATCGGAACCATTTTGACCGAAACAAACAAGAACATGGTTTTCTATCTGGTAAAGGGAAAGGGTTGGGTGCCATGGGGCCCATGCTGGCTCACGTGTTCAATAGGTTTGTCAAGGGTTTCCCTAAAATCCCCCAAACCCCCACTGCAAAAAACACCCTTTTTAAAATGCCCACGAAACTTTGATCATTTCAGCCTTTTCCTTTACAGCGAAAAAGCACACCCCTTGGGGCCAGCCCCCAGAAGGGAAATTCCCCCAAAACGCCGGGTTCTCGACTTTTGCAAAAAAGGGGGAAATTCAACCCTCCCACATTTTTGACCGCCTTTACGAGCAGAAAAAGGGCCCAATCACCGTTTTCCGGGGTTTTAAAAGCGGAAAAAAGGAACTCCCCCTGTGAAAAATTTCCCAAATGTAGCCTTTGGGGCAGCTCATGCGTGACCCCCTCCCGTTTGCTCGGGCCCCCTTTTGAGGGGGGCCACGCAAATTCGGGAGTCGGCGGGGACTATGGGATGAACGACGTCATTTCTGTTCAGGGCCGGGAACAAATGCTTTTAAACCCAAGGGCTGGTCGGGGTCGGTAGAAATGGGCCCCAGATCCCCAACCCAAAATGACCCCTGTGGGGGCAGGGCAGGAAGAAGAGGAGGAGGTAGAGGGGAAAAATTTGTGCTCAGGGAAATTTTTGAGTGAAATGGGTGGTTTTTCCACTCAGCGACGGAGTGGAGGTAGCAGGAGCATCTGGTAGAGGAGGAGGAGGAGGGAGGAGGGACAAGGACCCAGACGCACCGTGGCAGTATTGCTGTGGGAGAGAGGCTCAGGGAGTCCCTCGCATTCCTTGGCACAAATGGCCCATAGCAGCTCGGTTGCTTGCGTAGCGACAGCCGAAATAATAACATCAGACAGGGATGACTTTTGGCTGTCCACTTGTTGGACCCTCGCATACCGGTCAAAGATGGGGGGAGGGGGGGTGGTGGGGGGGGGGTGAGGGGGGGGGAGTGGCCTGTTTTCACACCTGCTGTGAGGGGGGGGAGGCCAAAATTACGTACTATAAAAACCACCTAGGTAGTCAGTTGGTCGTCTGCCTTTCTGCGCCAACCATCCTATCCTCAGACACTGTGGGCCCTGTGCGCTCGCGCGTACGCTGCCATGGCAGCAGCGGGAGGGGGTGGGGTGGTAGGAGGCAAGTGGCAGCATACCACCAGCAGCGAGCCTGCCTCAGGTCTTGCAGTCGATGATGAGTAAGCTTTTCATTCACCAGCGCAGTGAGGAAACTACTAAACCAGCCGCAGCCAGGCAGCGAGCAAGCCAGCGAGCATCAGGTGAGACCTGGAGCAGGAGCTCAAACGGGCTTGGGGCCTACATTGGCACAGCAACCCTGCCAACCGAGGTATGAACACTTCCCCTTGACTTACTGGGCAACGTAACTTGACCTTTGCGCCACAAACTAGCTCGAATTTGCCCTTGTAAGGCTGTCAATGCCCGGCCAGTAGCGTTGGCATCGGAGACGCGTGTTTAGTGCGCAGAGGAGGTATTGTAACTCCGCCCACGTGAGGAACACGGACTCGTTCCAGACCCAAGATGTGGAGAGACTACACGTTTGTGAATAATGAATCTGGAGTGGATTAAGTCCCTGGGAATTTCAAACCACCAGTTCCTGTACACAAACTGACCTAAATCCGCCATCGAATCACGCCACAAACATGTGCCATCTTTCAGGTCTCCTCACCACTGCTGGTGTGTTTCAATTTTTTGTCCATAGGGTGCTGGCAAGATTACGTGGCCGCACATAGCTTGCTGCCTGGCCCCATAATCTTGCCATGCGTCCCCTATTACCGCCACTCCTCATGCCTTGCTGCCAGGTCCAGTTCTCTCTCCATGGGTCCCGTACGGCCTACCCCATTGCTGCTGTCTCCATCGCCACATCTTCCCCTGCCCATGTGCCACTTTCAGGTCTCCTCACACTGCTGGTGTGTTCAATTTTTTGACATAGGTGCTGGCAGAGTACGGGCCTCCCATTAGCTGACTGCAAGCCCCTAATCTGCCATGGGCCCCTATACCGCCTCCTCATGCTGCTGCCAGGTCCACAGTCTCTCATGGGTCCTGTACGGCCTCCATTGCTGCTGTCTCCATCGCCACACTCTGCCATGTGCCACTTTCAGGTCTCCTCACACTGCTGGTGTGTTCAATTTTTTGTCATAGGGTGCTGGCAGATTACGGGCCTCACATAGCTGCTGCCAGGCCCCTAATCTGCCATGGGCCCTTGTACCGCCTCCTCATGCTGCTGCCAGGTCCAGAGTCTCTCATGCCATGTGCCACTTTCAGGTCTCCTCACACTGCTGGTGTGTTCAATTTTTTGACATGGGTGCTGGCAGATTACGGGCCTCCCATAGCTGCTGCCAGGCCCCTAATCTTGCCCATGCGGCCCCTGTACCGCCTCCTCATGCTGCTGCCAGGTCCAGAGTCTCTCATGGGTCCCTGTACGGACATCTCCCATTGCTGCTGTCTCATCGCCTCACTACTCTGCCATGTGCCACTTTCAGGTCTCCTCACCACACTGCTGGTGTGTTCATTTTTTGTCATTTTTAGATTTGCTGGCAGATTACAGGCCTCCCATAGGTGCCGCCAGGCCCCAAATCTGCCATGGGCCCCCGTACCGCCTGGTCACGCTGCTGCTGGGTCCACAGTGTGACCTGGGTCCCTGTACCGCGCCTCCCATTGCTCCCACTCTGCCATGTGCCACTTTGAGGTCTCCTCACACTCCTGCGGTTTTCCATTTTGTCATAGGGTTGCTGGCAGAATTACAGGCCCTCCATAGGTGCCGCCAGGCCCAAATCTGCCATGGGCCCCCGTACCGCCTGGTCACGCTGCTGCTGGGTCCACAGTGTGACCTGGGTCTCTGTACCGCCTCCCATTGCTCCCACTCTGCCAATGTGCCACTTTGAGGTCTCCCTCACACTCCTGCGGTTTTCCATTTTGGTCATAGGTTGCTGGCAGATTACAGGCCTCCCATAGGTGCCGCCAGGCCCCAAATCTGCCATGGGCCCCCGTACCGCCTGGTCACGCTGCTGCTGGGTCCACAGTGTGACCTGGGTCCCTGTACCGCCTCCCATTGCTCCCACTCTTGCCATGTGCCACTTTGAGGTCTCCTCACACTCCTGCGGTTTTCCCATTTTGTCATAGGTTGCTGGCAGATTACAGGCCTCCCATAGGTGCTGCCATGGCCCCAAATCTGCCATGGGCCCCCGTACCGCCTGGTCACGCTGCTGCTGGGTCCACAGTGTGACATGGATCTGTCCCTGTAACCGCCTTCCATTGCTCCCACTCTGCCATGTGCCACTTTCAGGTCTACTCACACTCCTGCTGGTTTCCATTTTGTCATAGGTTGCTGTATGGCCTCCCATTGCTGCTGCCTCCACCGCCACACTGTGGCTCCAAACACTGGTTTTGGCCCCGTGACTGGCCAAATGAGTGAAGTGTGCGGTGATTCTAAGATCGACGGCACTCATCTGCATGTCATACTGACTGACAGTATTATTTCTCTTCCCCCAGCAGACTCCAAGGGCATTTAAATTAAAGGTACAGTGTTCCGCACTAATTAAGTCTCTCTGAAGCCTAGAAACACCCTTTTTTAAGTTAAATTCACAGCGAATATATTCGACTCGAATCAAATATTTTCCACGAATTCGCCGAATCAGTCGAATCGAATTTTTGAATACTTCGCTCATCTCTAATGTCAACGATGAAATCATAGACTATTGAATGAACAAACATGTTTTCAGTAACAGTCCTTCTCCTACAGTAGCAATTTATGGACTGAAGAAAACAGCTCAAGAGGGTGAGAAAGAATTAGTCCAAAAGGAATTTCTATGTAGTTGATGGGCTCAAATCTCTGCCCAATGAAGAAGCTATTGACCTTCTTACTAGAACCCAGAACATGCTTGCCATTGCAAACCTCAGCCTTCACAAAATCATCTCTAACAGCGACAAGGTCATGAGAGCCTTTCCTTCTGATGACCATGCTGTCAGTGTGAAGAAATCCCAACTAGGATCTGACCTTTCTGTTACACAACGCAGTCTTTGATTGCTTTGGAATGTTAAACAAGACACATTCACATTTCAGGCATCAGCCTGTGACAAACCCTTCACAAAGCGAGGAGTATTGTCTACAGTGATCAGCATTTATGATCCATTAGATTTCATTACACCCTCTCACCATTCAGGGTAAGATACTGCTGAGAAAACTTACTTCTGAAAGCTCAGACTGGGATACCCCCCCTTACCCAAGGAGAAACAACAAAGGTGGGAATCCTGGAAACAATCCTGGACAATGGCCACTATGTTCCCACTAGCCTTAACCCTGCTGACTGCGGCAGTCGTGCAGTACCTACTACTGCATTTCGGGACACATCTTGGCTATATCCACCATGAAAGAAGGTTCTGCACACCTTTACTTCAGGCCTATAAAGGAACTAGTACTTGCCCAAAGAGGAATAAAAGTCATCAACCTGAATTAAAGGTAGGTAAGAAGGAATATGCATGTTGCTGCCTTCCTCTCTGAATATGGATTTCCATGTCTCAGCCTGGGTCTTTCGAGACCAACATCTGCAAGTATTATGCTAAATGTTTGCATTGGTTTCCTTTGTTCTTCCCTCCCCTCTTGCTTTGCAGATGTTCCTGAAAGAATCTTCATTATTTTATATAGGACTTGAACTAAAGTTTATTCTAATAGAAATCATAGATATCGACGGGGAGTGTCATATTGACTGTCATATGCCTTTAATTGTTTCTATATTTTGTCTCTGCTTCTCTCCCTTTCCTTTGGTTTAGTTAATGCTGTATAGATAGCCCTCCCCCTTTCCCACAAATGCATTGCAGGTCTAGCCTCATGTCATGGAGCAGGAAACATTATGATCTTTTGATCTATCGAATGTTCATTGTTGTAAGATGTTGTAAGTTTATGGAATAACTTCACAAGATCTACAAGATGTCTTATCGATTGAGTCACTGACTGTGGTATCCAGCTGAGGTTGAAGTTATCGCTATCTTATCATAACTGTAAGTTACAGAGATCACACTATCAATGCTTTAGATTGGAGAGACAGAACAAGATTTATAATTATGAACTTTTTTTATATAATTTTACATTTTTTATAATATTATATGTATTATGATGTTATGGTTGTTTTTGTATGGGTGTGTTTATGCACGTTCATAACGCACCTTCACAACGCATTCATATGTAATTTGGTTTGACGAATAGGGTTTAGTATTATATTTAAACCACATATCATATAGAATTAATGAGGTAGTTCCTTCTCCCCTCTCTCTCTTTTTAGTAGATCATTGGTGTTTTAGCGTATAGTGAAATTTTAGTAGTATTTTAGATAATTGGCAGATGTATATGGTCTCTTTAGCATATATATCGCTATTTTTTGTTTATATTATGGGGTTATATTTTTTTAATAAATAGTCTCCACAAAGCCATACAATGTATTAGTAATATTCTTATCTTCCCTGTATATAAGTAGTAGAATATGCTTCTATGCATTTATAACTGAAGAGAAACGTTTTTATATTTTTTAATTCTAATAAAAATTGTTAAGAGGTGCATCTGTGCATCTACATATGCCCCGTTTTTAATACGTCTATGACTACATAAATACGACTCATTACATGCAAAGCAAGATAGTTCAAACCGTGATTTGTCATAATTGTGATGATTATGGCTTACAGCTCATGAAAACCCCAAATCCACAATCTCAGAAAATTAGAATATTGTGAATTAGAATAGGCTCAAAGTGTGTCCCACTCTAATCAGCTAATTAAGCCATAACACCTGCAAAGGGTTCCCGAGCCTTTAAATGGTCTCTCAGTCTGGTTCAGTAGGAATCACAATCATGGGAAAGACTGCTGACCTGACAGTTGTGCAGAAAACCATCATTGACACCCTCCATAAGGAGGGAAAGCCTCAAAAGGTAATTGCAAAAGAAGTTGGATGTTCCCAAAGTGCTGTGTCAAAGTACATTAATAGAAAGTTATGTGGAAGGTAAAAGTGTGGAAGAAAAAGGTGCACAGGCAGCAGCCTGGAGAGGATTGTCAGGAAAAGGTCATTCAAAAGTGTTGGGGACTATCACAAGGAGTGGACTGAGGCTGGAGTCAGTGCATCAAGAGCCACCACACACAGACGGATCTTGGACATGGGCTTCAAATGTCGTATTCCTCTTGCTTTGCATGTAATGAATCTATCTCATACATTAGTTTCACCTTTTAAGTTGCATTACTGAAATAAATGAACTTTTGCACGATATTCTAATTTTTCGAGTTTCAACTGTATATAAATATATGTATATAATCTGACCACTTTTAGTATGGCTGCCGGAGATTTTTACTGTTGTAGGAACATTACATAGCTTGTCCTCAGTGCAGGACCTCAATAACATGGCCACCGGAGGTCCAGATTTCTTCCTTTGATTGGCAGATAGACTCCCCTCTATAGAGCCGTATGTTACAGTTGCAAGAAAAAGTATGTGAACCCCTTGGGATTACGTGGAGTTTTGCATGAATTGGGCATAAAATGTGCTCTGAAACGTCATCTAAGTCACAACAATAGAAGAACACAGTCTGCTGAACATATTACTACACAAATATTAGATGTTGCCATGGTTTAATTGCACATAACATGTAAACATTCACAGTGCAGGGAGGAAAAAGTATGTGAGGCCCTAGCTTAATGACTTCTCCCAGAGCTAATTGGAGCCAGGAGTGAGCCAACCTCGACTCCAATCAGTGTGATGATATTGGATGTGTTACTGACAGCTGTCCTGCCCTTAAAAAACACACACACTTGTTTTGGGTTTACTGGTTTCAAGAAGCACTGTCTGATGTGAACCATGCCTCGCAGAAAAGAGCTCTCAGAAGACCTACGATCAAGAATTGTTGACTTGCTTGAAGCTGGAAGGGGTTACAAAAGTATCTCCAAAAGCCTTGATGTTCATGTGTCCACGGTAAGACAGACTGTCTACAAATGGAGAAAGTTTAGCACTGTTGCTACTCTCCCTAGGCGTGGCCGTCCTGTAAAAATGACTGCAAGAGCACAGCGCAGAATGCTGCATGAGGTAAAGAAGAATCCAGAGTGTCAGCTAAAGACCTACAGAAATCTCTGGCACATGCTAACATTTTTGTTGACACATCTACAATAAGGAAAACATTAAACAAGAATGGAGTACATGGGAGGAACACCACGGAGGAAGCCATTGCTGTCCAAAAAGAATATTGCAGCATGTTTGAAGTTTGCAAAAGAGCACCTGGATGTTCCACAGCACTACTGGCAAAAATATACTGTGGACAGATGAAACCAAGATTGAGTTGTTTGGGAAGAACACACAACACTATGTGTGGAGAAAAAAAGGCACAGCACACCAACATCAAAACCTCATCCCCACTGTAAAACATGGCGGAGGTAATGTTTGTGTAGTATTATGTTCAGCAGACTGTGTTCTTCTATTGTTGTGAATAGATGACGTTCAGAGCACATTTTATGCCCAATTCATGCAAAACTCCATGTAATCCCAAGAGGTTCACATACTTTTTCTTGCAACTGTACCAATCACGTTACCCTGGGGAAGTCACATGTTAACGGGAAGTAACGCTTAGGATCGTGGTGACATATTTCCGTCGTGGACGCCATCTTTGTACACCCAAAAATGCCCATGTAGTAAGTACACCCATAGCATGAGGTTTTTCAGCTTGTTTTATTCTTTGAAAAAGTGAGTGGGCATTTGGCTATACATGTTTTAGGTAATATTAAACAGATTTACACTATGGGAGATCTTTCTGTCTTTATCCTGACCTTTTTGATGTGAGCTGGCTGTATCATACTAAATCATCCCTGAGGGGGGTTCCTGCTGCTTCTTCCATTAACCTGTGAAGCGGATATCACCGCTGCGGCCGGATATTATCCTTGAAGGGGGGACCAGACAGTGGACGATCCCTCGTTTTCTAACAGGCATTTGGCCCTTTTGGGTCGCTTCAAGGAGATGAGGGGGCAATTCAGCTGTTTATGGATTATTTCCTATTGGTTGTCATGCATATTCACTATATCACCTGCACTTTCTGAAGTCGTTGGATTATTTGGTGTTTACACACCTTTGAACTTTTATTTTCTGGACTAAATTTTTACGACACTTTCAAAGAGTTTTTCTGAATATCATCTTTTTTTTTGGTGATATCACTTTAATAATGTTTGTTTATTTATTCATTATCATATTTTGTCTTTTAATCACTGCACTTGTCACTTTTGTGCGATATATTTTAATCCCACATTTAGGGATTCACAGAGATTTTTTCACAAACTTTATCACTTTTATTTGGTGAATTTATAGCCTCTGTGGTCACCATTATATCAGCGTGATAATTGATTCC